TGGTGAAAGACCTCATCCCTGAAGACCGGATCCACCGCACACAAGTCATAAGCCAGACCCTCAGCCCAGTGTGGGACGAGACATTTATCCTGTAATCTGTCACCCTGTGACTTTGCTTGCTTGGGGGTCTGGAGGGGGTGTCCAGGGCTCTTGGGGGTGGAGGGCGGGTTCACCCATCGCTCCAGTCAGGAGCTGGGGCTCTGCCAGGGCGATGCCCACTGGGACTTGCCAGGCTTCTGGTCTGACCCATTCAGCAGGTCCAGGAGGTGAAAAACAAAAGCATGGCAAAAATCCTTCCCTTGGGGTTCTCCCACCACATCCCCTGGCTGTGTGGAGTGGTTTGGGATCTCTCCAGGGAGGGGCTGCCTGCCTGTAATCCCCACTTGTCCTGTCTGCTTGCTGGTGGTCCCCTGGGTGCTGCCTGGGTAACAGCATCCCGCTGGTGCCTTGCAGGGAGTTTGAAGACATGGAGACAGCCAGCTTCCACCTGGACATGTGGTGAGCAGCAGCACCCCCCGCCAGCGACCCTGATCCCCAGCCTGAGCAGGGTCCTGCCTCCTGGGGGCTCCCGGGGGGGTCCTTCACCATGCACCCTTTCAAAAGCCCCAGAAATCAGCTGGGGACTCCATTCCCCCCCACTTTCTGCTGGAGCAGTGCACAGAGCAGGACTGTGACCAGCAGGAGCAGGGAGAGCCCGGGCTGGCTTTGATCCTGAGCCTTCATTTTATTTATGGCAAGAAGCCACATGCTTGCAGATTTTGGCTGGACAACTGGTTTTGGGGTGTCCTCAAACCCGACACGTTCCCTCCCACCGACACCTTTCCTTCTCCACTATCACTACAACCCCCTGGGCTGCTCTGCAACCGCCTGACTTTCCTCCTTCCCCCCGGGGTGGGTTTCTCTGCCCACCCTCGCAGGGACTCGGATACAGTGGAGTCGGTGCGGCACAAGCTGGGGGAGCTGACGGACCTCCACGGCCTCAAACGGTTGGTACTGAGCTGGCCCTCAAGGCTGCTGAGGAAAGAGCCTTTGCAAAATGCTTATCTGCCTGCTGGCTTTTAAAAATTACCTTGGGAGGGAGGGGAGCAGGTCTGCATCACGATTCTTCACGCCGAGCACGGCTGGGTCCTGGCTTCAGGAAACCTTCTCACGCCCTCCTTCCTTCCTGCCTTGCAGGATCTTTAAAGATGCTCGCAAAGACAAAGGGCAGGACGATTTCCTGGGGAACGTGGTCCTTCGGCTGAAGGTGAGCTCCTCCCACTTAAACCCCGCGGGGTCCTGGCAAGGTCCCAGCCCCACGGCAGCACCGAGCTCACCCAGGACCCCAGCTCAGAGCCACAGACTGCTGCCAGGTCCCTCAGTCTGGTGGCAGGTGCCCCAGCCACTCCGACACGCTCACACAGTGGTGATCCATCTTTTATTGTGAATCCAGCACCAGGGTTATCCAAACGGCATCTTTCTTCCCTGTTAACACACTGGGTCCTGGTCCCTGAGTGGGATCCTTCCTCCTGAAGGCTGCCTGAGGCTTCACCCTTCTCTCTGTGTGTGCAGGACCTGCACTGCTGGGATGACCGGTGGTACCAGCTGGAGCCACGGACGGAGACGTACCCCAACCGGGGACAGTGTCACCTGCAGTTCCGGCTGACTCACAAGAAGGTAGGAGGGGCTGGAGAAGGGGGTCCTTTTCCATTGCCTTGGCAGAATGAGGCCCTTGGGGCCTCTCTTGGGGTCACAAATCCCTGCCCCAGGACGAGAAGTGCCAGCGCCAGGGTTTGCAAGTGCTGGAAACCATCTCAACCATGCCAGCGTGGGGACCTTGCTCCTGGTGCATCTGCATCCCTTGACTTGGCTTCAAAAGGGGCTTCAAATGGGGCTCTCTGGCCTCAGGCTTTTGGGGTTCCTGTGTCCCCACTCTCTGACTGCATCCCTGTGTGTTCAGACAAGTTATGGGTATTGCTTCTTTGCCTTGTCTCTTTTCAGAGGGCCACCACGAGCAGCCGCACTCAGCCCAGTTACACTGTCCATCGCCACCTCCTGCAGCAGCTGGTGTCCTACGAGATCCTGCAGCACCAGGTACCCACGGGGAGCAGCAGCTCTCCAGCAGCTGGGCTGGGGTCAGGGCTTCCTTTGGAGCCCATCACACCTGACACATTGCTGCAGTGTGGTGAGGAGGAGGATTGTGCTGATGCCTGCCTGTGCCTGGCACCCTTATGAGACAACCATTCCTCCTGTGGTCCTTCAAACACACCCCACGGCAGTGCCTGTCCCCCACCTCACCCAGCCCAGCTGGCTCCAGGACACATCACCCTCCTCTTGCACCCTTGCAGGCGGGGAGCATGGCCTGGGACGGGGAGCTGAGCAGGCACGCCAGCACTGTGCTGTACCTGCACGCCACGCAGAAGGACCTCTCTGACTTCCACCAGGTCATGGCGTGAGTACCCTGTGCCTGGGGAGCCATGATGCAGCATCACAAGGGGGTCACAGGCCACACTGCCTTCCCTGGTGCTGTGTGATCCCAGCCTGTCTCTCCCATGAGCTCAGCGTGGCTGGTACCACCCCCTGCCCCAGGCAGCACCAGGAGACCTGGGTCCTGCCCCTGCACATCCCATCCATGGGTGGGGGAGCACCACCCCAGCCCCTGGGTACCCCACAGCCCCCGGGGCTCAGCCCAGCCTCTCCCTCCTCCCCAGGCAGTGGCTGGCATACAGCAAGCTCTACCAGAGCCTCGAGTTCAACAGCAACTGCCTGCTCCACCAGATCACCAGCATCGAGTACCAGTGGGTGCAGGAGCGCCTGAGGCCGGAGCAGGTGAGGGGACAATATGCCCCATGCACCCCTGAGTCTCTCCTCTCAGCTCCTGGGGCTGTTTCCCTCCCTGTGGTCCAGGAGGGGCAGGAGCTTGTGGGGTACGGGTGTGCTGGGACGGCTGGAGGATGTTGCTGGGGAGCTCCAGCCCTAGGGACCAGGATGACCCACAGGTCAGGGAGCCCCTTTGCCCCAGACACTTGTTCCCCCTCCCTGCAGAGAAGCATTTACCCTTTGCACTAACATCTCCCTCCTCCATTGCTGCCATCAAGTCAATCATAGGTCAGGGAGCCCCTTTGCCCCAAATGCTTGTTCCCCCTCCCTTCAGAGAAGCGTTTACCCTTTGCACTAACATCTCCTTCCTCCATTGCTGCCATCAAGTCAATCACAACCCCCTGCAAAACTTCAATATGACCCAATTCCTACTTTTCCCCACCCATTTTCCCAGCCTCCTGCTGAGACTCTTATTTTTTCCTGCACAGCAACCACGTTTAAGTATAAAGCTCAGTGCAGGCCCTCCAGGAGAATTTCCTGGAGGCATCAGGGGTTTTCCCACCCCTGGAGCAGACTAGAAAGGCACAAGGGCCACCAGCTCCCTCCACCACAGTCCTGCCAGCATCTGCCTGCTGTTGAGGAGGACAATGCGTGTCTCCTTCCTTGTCCCCAGAAAGCAGAGCTGGCCGAGTCCTTCCAGTCCCTGCTGACCTACGGGGTCTCCCTCATCCGGAGGTACCGTATCATCTTCCCTCTCACTGTCCCGAGGTCCACGGAGAGGCTCCAGTCCCTGCTCCGGTGAGTTGAGCGCTGGTCCCACACACGTGTGGGTTGTATGGCTTGGCCACTGTGATGTGTGACACTGTGACACTTGTCCTGTCCTGTCCCTCGTCCTGGGCTCCTCATGGGGAATGTTGCTGGGAGGGGAAGGTCTGTTTGGGTAGGGTCCCTGGGGGGAGAGTGGTTGTTTCTGACAGGCTGATGCTGGGTTTCACTCGAGGTTCTCGCCTTGCAGGGTCCTGGTCCAGATGTGCAAAATGAAAGCTTTCCACGAGCTGTGCACACCCAGCCCCAACCTCCCCCAGATGGTCTCCACAGCGCTGAAGGTAGTGGGACCAGAATTCTTGCCCTCCCCAGCCTCAGGGAGGTGGGACCCTGTGGCTCTCCCTTCCCATCCATCCCCTGCCCAATGACCACATGGACATCCATGGCAGGGGGAGATACCTGCCCCTCTTCACCCACGTGGTTCCCACCACATGGAGCTGGGTCCTGACCACAGCTAGGGCACAGGGAGAGTGAAGGGGGTGACAGAGCTGGCTTTGCTCCTCCTGCTTCCCTGCCATCACTCCAGGACTCCTCTCTTGCAGTCAGGCACGACAGAGTGGTTCCACATGGAGAAGCAGCACCTCAAGCCCATGGTGAAGGTCAGCTCCCACCTCTGCCTCTCTGACTTTATAGGAAGCAGTTTTCTGGGCTTGGGGTGGGAGGCCCAAGGAGCTGGGAAGACAAGATTGAGATAAGGCTTCTCCAGTTGTCTGATGCAGTCAAGACATCCAGGTTTCCAACTTAAAAATACCATGAGCCATGTTACCTGCAGCTGCCCAGGGGCACTGAAGCTTAAGGCCTTGGTGCAACACTCAGGACAACAGGAGGTGGTCCCCAGCCCAGCCACACAAGCATGGGGTGACAGAGAATGTTACCAACAACTTCTTTGTGCTGCTAATGTGGAACTAATGATGGATTTCTACCTTGTAAAAACAAATAATAGAAATAAAGCAGATCAGAATGGAGCCCAGATAATCTCAAAATCACAGAGCATTCAAAACAAGCTGTTCTTTCCTTTGCAGAGCATGGAGGAGAATGGCAAAGCCTTATCCAGACTCCTCCTGGAGGTGATAGGAGATCTCCAGCAGTGCCAGAAAATCTGGAATAAATTCTTCATCAAGTAGGTTTTGGAGCTTAATCCCTTCTCAGCCACTTTCCCTAGGGCCAAGAGCAACAGGGCACTTTGATGTCTCATTCCTTGACTCTTGGGCTCCACAGAGAGCATCTGTGGTCCCATCTCTGCCTCCAACTGCTGTACTGTCCTCACCCTTATGGCAAGAGCACGGTCTGGGTTTGCTGGGCTGGCACTGACAGGCTCCTGACTCCCTGTTTCTCTCTTGCAGCACCTTGAAGTTGAATCTCTTCTTCATCGCCTACATGGAGCTGGAGAGCCTGGTGAGCAAGCCTGGGCTGCTCTGCACTCATGGGACTTAAGTCTAAAGCCAGGCTGAGTTTTTTGGCCACCCTGCAGATGGCAACTGGTTGGTTCAAGCCTGCAAAGTGACCAAACTCACCATCTTTCCCCGTGTGCCCATGAAGTGACTATCACCCACCTACTTTACCCAGCGGATCTCCTGCGATGCCACCCAGAAGGAAGCGGAGTCCCCTGAGCTGACCCTCACCCTGTGGCTCCAGAGAGCCCCCAGCAGACCAAACCCCCCCAGCTGGACCCTCCCTAACTGCTGTCCCCCTTTTCTCTGCTCACTGCCAGGTTGCAGAGCACGTCCAGGAGCAGCTGCGGGAGGTTGACAGCAGCATGTCCAAGCCCACAGCCGAGAGCCTCTTCCAGCTCTACATGAACCTGCAGGAGCTCTATCGGATGAAGGACTTCCTCCCAAACAGGTATCCATCCCTGAGAGAGGGGACAGGCCAAAGGAGGAACTCCAAATCCTTTCCACTAATCACACGCAAGGCAGACCAGGCTGTTGGTGTCTGGTGTCAATGTCAGCACCACCAGAAGGGTTTCAGGCTTTCCTCTGAGTGGGGTTCGTGAAGACCTCGCCTTCCAGACAAGGGGAGGTTTCTCCTCAGCATGGTGCTGTGCTGCCTCCACCTCAGGGCAGTTTCTTGTGTGAGAGCAAGTGGAGGTGATGCTCTGCTCCCATGCCATTGCTGAGTGATCCGAGAAGCTGGTGTCTTCATCCACAGGGATGGACCTCTGGCTCTGAGCAATTTCCACCAGTGGTTCAAGGAAGCTGTGCCCCAGTGGCTGCAGAAAACCTACACCATTGCTCTGGAGAGGGCACAGAGAGCTGTCCAGATGGATCAGGTAACCCGGGGAGGAGAACATCTCCCTCCACCCTTTGGGGACACTCCAGCTCCCTCCACACCTTGCTGCTGTGCCTGGCTCTCAACATTGAGGCCACCACACCAGGTGCCTCTTGCAGCCCAGGAGTGGGCTGGTTCCTCTCCCAAATGCATAACAAAGGATGTGCTCTCCTGGACCTGTTGAGCCCATGCTGGCCATGCACCCATCCCTGTGCCCCTGGCAGCCCGAGTGAGCTGATGAGCCTGCACTCAGGCCATGCTGTGAGCATCTCCTTTGCTTCTGACCTTTAGGAAGAGGAGAGGGAAGGCAGCTGTGGGGCCAGGGGCTCCTTGCCCCACTCTCTAGTGTGGTCCAACAATTATGGGGTGGAGAATGGTGGAGGACAGCCCAATTCAAGGAGCTCAGGCTGCTCCACCCACCCATCCATCCATCCATCCATCCATCCATCCATCCATCCATCCTCACATACTCCACTCTCCAAAGTGACAGGTTGATGACGTTGGGATATATATGGAGCTGATGATGGGCCAAAGAGCCGCAGAGTAAAGCAGCAGCTTCACCAGTCTGAGGCAGCTTCCTTGTGTACAAACCAAGCTGCATTTACTTTCTCTGCCCTCTCAGCTGACGCCCTTTGGGGAGCACAACAAGCACAGCACGTCCACCGTTGACCTGTCCACCTGCTATGCCCAGATTGTGAAGACCTGGCAGCAGCTCAACTGGCCAGACCCTGAGGAAGCCTTCATGATCATGGTGAAGCTCGTGGAGGTTTGTACACTGGGCTGGGCTGGCAGATGCCACACTCACAGACAGCACCAGCCAGTTTCCTCTCCTGCTCACGGAGACAGGTCCCAATGAATGGGGCCAGAGTCCCACACCGTTGTGGTGGGGTCCCCTGACACCACAGTCATCCCTGTGGTGCCCAGCTCAGGTGGCTTCTTGTCCCTCCTGCAGGACATGTGCAGAATCGCCCTGATGTACTGTCGGCTCGTCAAGGAGAGGGCTGAGGTTCTGTCGCTGAGGGAGCAGAGCGAGGGCGAAGCCGCCAACAGGGTTGGTGTCAGGGCAGGCTCCACTGCTCAGGGAGAGGCAGGATTTGGCCATGGTTTGGGGCAGAGAGGGAGATGAGGTGCTGAGCACCCAGCTGACACCCTGGCCTTGGGTTTCACGGGGATCAGCTGGCCCCTGACAGCCATTATCCTGGAAAAGCAGGAGGGAAATGGTGTAAGCAGAGGGAGCAGGATGGGGATGGGGTGGAGACAGGGATTGAGATGGGGATGTGGGTTGGATGGGGATGAGGATTGGGAGGGGGGTGGAGATAGGGATTGAGAAGGGGTCGGGGGTTGGATGGGGACGAGGATTGGGGTGGAGATGGGAATGAGGATGGGGATAAAGATGGGGGTTGAGCTGGGAGGGGCTGGACCAGGGGGTGTGGGACGCTCTGACGCAGACCCACCTCCCCCAGCTCTGCATCGTGGTGAACAACATCAAGCAGCTGCGGCTGCTGATCCTGAAGCTGCCGACACAGCTGGACTGGGCACAGCTGGAGCAGCGCACGGGGGCCGTCATTGACCGGCAGCAGATCCAGCACACGCTGCACAACCAGCTCGACAGCACTGTCTCCTGCCTGGACCACGAGGTCCGGGATGTGGTGCAAGCTCTGGCCACCAAGGTGACCACCTGCCACTGACCCCTTTGGGTCTCACCTGGCCCAGTGAGAAGGTTGCACCCAAGCAGGCCTGGAGCCCACAGTTCTCCTGGGATGGAGACAAGCTGGACTAGGGCATGGGGAGGCTGGTGCAGAGGGCAAAGGCCAAGTGCCTCTGTGCATTTCTCCCTGGCAGCTGGAAAAGGGCATCGCCAGACACATCCAGGAGCTCTCATCTTCCAACGACACCCAGGAGCCTGAGGATGTAAGTACCTGGCCCCTCGTGGATCATCTGTTTTGGGCAGCTGTGAATAACTCTGCCTAGTTGGTGGAGGGCCCCATCCCCCTTCCCCACCTCTCCCTGCCTGCACACAAGACTCAGCAGCAGTGGGACCCAGACCACCATACACTTAGTTTGATGCCCACACTGGCAGCAGGACCAGCCAGGGCACAGCCTGCCCATTTCCTTGCTGTGGGAGGGGACTCCTCCTGACCACCCCCTGCTCTGCTAGCTCTGGCCAGCAGCACCCCAGCTCTCTCCTCATGGAGCCCCTCTGTGCCCTCCACAACACCCCTCTCCTCTCACTGCAGTCCATCATCCCGCTGATGAAGTTCCTGGAGTCAGAGCTGCAGTATCTCAATGAGCATCTGGTCCAGGAGAACTTCAAAAGGTGACGGTGGCCCTGGGGATGCAGGGTGGAGGTCAGCAGCATTACCATCCCTCAGCAGGAGTGTCCCCCCAGCCCCAAGGGGCTTGGGGACATTCCACTTTGGGGCTGGCTGTTCAGTCCAGCATGAAGAGCCCCTCGGCCAAGGACCAAACCCCCTTAGCCCACTCCCTTGGCCCCCTGTTCATAGCCCTCCTTCCTCGCCCTGCAGCCTCCTCACCCTCCTCTGGCATCATACCTTGGCCGTGCTGTCGGCAGCCGCAGGGCAGCAGGTCCCCTCGGCCCAATGCTACAAGAAGCTGCACTGTGCCCTGAAGGTACCAGGGGTGCGGGGGGTCCCCAGCAGGGACGGGTGTTTGGGTGCCAGCTGACAGCATCCTTCTCCTCAGAGCCTGAAGTTCTGCTTCCACGGCGAGGGCTGCGGGCTGCCGCTGGAGACCCTGCACACTGCAGCCTTCCTGGTACAGGGTGCTGGGGGGTAGGGGGAGCCCCAAGGCTTTCCTCTGGGTGCTCTCCAGTGAGGGCATCTCTGGGCTGCAGACCCGTCCCTGTGCCTGACCTTCACTTCTCGCCCTCCCTGCAGTCGCTGGAGACCCACCTGGCCCTCTGCTCCACCACCAGCCGCAAGCTCATCCAGAAATACTTCAGCAACAGGATCCAGCAGCAGGTAGGAGTCGGGATGGTGCCCCCAGCCCCTTCCCCCTGCCCACCCCTGCAGACACGAGCCTGCCCGGCACAGCCTGCCCGTGGAAACGTGGGATTTCCCCACCACCCTCCCACTCCTGGGGCTGGTTTTACCCCAGCGGCGGGCAGGAGGGCATCCAACTGCATCCCAGAGGATCCCCATCACCCCCCCCAGTACCCCAAGACACCCTCTGAGCCTCCACCAGACCCTGGTCATCCGCTCCACGAGCGTGCCGGAGGCAGCACTGTGACTCTTGTACCCACCCCCAGCTGGACACCAGCGTGGAGAAGTACGGGGCCGTGACCATCAAGGCGCTGTACCGCCCTTCCGAGCAGAAGCTCCGCGTGGAAGTGCTCAACGCCGCCAACCTCATCCCGCTGGACTCCAACGGTGGGTGCTGGGGGGCTGGGGACACCCCCCCCAAGAGGGCCGTGGGCTCGGTTCCTGATACACCCCCGGGGAGGAGAGATGCTGGCAGTGCTTGGGGTAATGGGACTCTGCCTTGATTTTCTTTGCATCCAAGAAGGTGGATTTGGGGAAGAAGGGGGTTACTGCACCAGTCTGGGGTGGTCCAGCGGGATGAAGACCAGCTGAGGGACCTGGGGCTCTTTAGTCTGGACAAGAGGAGACTGAGAGGAGACCTTAGTGCTCTCTACAGCTACCTAAATGGAGGTTGTAATGAGGCTGGTGTTGGTCTCTTCTTCCAAATTACTGATAATAGGGTGAGAGGAAATGGCCTCAAGCTGGACCAGGGAAGGTTTCAATTGGATATTAGGAAGAATTTCTTCCCTGAGAGAGTGGTCAGGCACTGGAACGGGCTGCCCAGGGAGGTGGTGGGGGCACCATCCCTGGAGGGGGTCGAAAAATGAGTAGATGTAGCACTTGAGTCTATGAGCTAGTGGTTAGAGAAGTGCTGGGATGATGGTTGGACTTGATGATCCTGGAGGTCCTCTCCAACCAGAGTGATTCTCTGATTCTATGATGCATCAGGCAGGACACTGTGCCCACACCCCGCTGCACAGGGCAGCAGCTAGGGCAGGAGGCTTTTTTCCATCGTGCAAACCATGTCTTGGGCAAAAAGACATATGCCAGGATGAGAAGGGAGTCTCTCGGGCTGGCTGTCATTTGGGGAGGCCTCCAGGAGATGTCACTCCTCTTGCAGCCACCCGTGGCCGACCGATGCATGGGCAGGCCTGGGGATGTTCCTGCACCCTAGCAGGAGCATGGGCTGGGCTGGGGGGGTGGCAGCGAGGGTACCCTGACTCCACCCGCCCCCGCAGTGTGCCTAGCCCCCCCGGCTGTGCCAGGGCAGAGGGGGTGGCAGGAGGGGGCTGACTTCTGCACCCCACCAGGCTCGAGTGACCCGTTTGTCCAGCTCACCCTGGAGCCCCGGCACGAGTTCCCCGAGGTGGTGGCCCGGACCACCCAGTGCAAGAGGAACGAGCTGCACCCCCTCTTTGACGAAGCCTTCGACTTGTGCGTAGGGCCGACA